TAGTAGAGATACCTCTTATATTCCCCCATACTAAAGGATCAATGAGAATAATAGCTGAATTTGTAGTCATGAGAAATGCTAGAATCAATTATCTCATCCTAGGAAATTATTACATGTCTTTGTATGGTTTTGATATCACCAATATCAAAGAAAGATTCTTTACCATAGGAAATGATAATAAGAAGAAGAAATTCAGTTTTAAATCCCATGTAACGGACAAGATGCCTCTATCTACTGAAATCTCCTCAGTCAAGAAAACAGACCCCATGCTCCAGAAATTTATATCTGAAGAATTATCTGACGCAAAGATAAGTGAGCAGTTATCCAGTGAGCAGAAAGAAAAATTGTTTGAAGTACTATATTCAAATAAACTTGCTTTTGCTAACACAGATCAGCCTCTGGGTGCCATCAAAGGCCATGAAGTCCACTTGACTTTGACCACTGAAAGACCTTACCCCCCTCTATTGCGCAAAGCCCCTTATCCTGCTAGCCCCAAAAGCAGAGAAGCACTAGAGGACCACATAGAAGAGTTAGTCAGATTGAATGTGTTGAGGAAAGTTGGCCATAATGAAATTGTGGAAATCACTACTCCAGTGATAATAGCCTGGCACAATGGAAAATCCAGGATGGTAGGAGACTTCAGATCATTGAATTCTTATACAGCAGCAGACAGGTATCCAATACCTAAAATCAGTGAGACCTTGAACAATCTAGCCAAAGCCAAATTCCTGACTAGTATGGATGTACTGAAAGGTTTCCATCAAAATGTGATAGCTGAAGAATCCAGACACTTGTTGAGAATTATTCTGCATAAAGGCATCTATGAATATTTGAGAATGCCCTTTGGGATCAAAAATGCCCCCTATCATTTCCAAAGGATGATGGACATAGAGTTCAGAAGAGAGTTAGACGAAAAGTGGTTCATCATCTACATTGATGACATCATTATAATGTCAAATACTTGGGAAGAACACTTAATAAGAATCAGTAGGATCTTACAGATTGTCATTAAGATGAACATGAAAATCTCTTTGAAAAAATGTAATTTTGGGTTCAACCAGATTAAAGCCTTGGGCCATGTGGTGTCTGGGATAGCAATAGGAATAGACCAGAACAAAGTAGCAGCTGTTTTGCAAAAACCAGTCCCAAATTGCAAGAAAGAGGTTCAATCCTTCTTGGGTTTTGCTGGATATTACAGACAGCACATTGAGAACTTTGCAGACATTGCTAGACCACTAACAGAACTGACCAAAATTGAAGTTGACTTTGAAATGACCCATAGGAGACTTGCAGCCTATAACCTCCTCAGAGAGAAACTTACTTCAGCTCCTTTGCTCCTTTTTCCTGACTGGAAATACCCCTTCATCTTATATTTAGATGCCAGTATGACAGGACTAGGTGCTGCCCTCCATCAAGTCCAGAAAATTGATGGAATCAAAAAGGAAGGACCAATTGTTTTCATCTCTAGACAACTCAAAGACAGTGAAACAAGGTGTGGAGCTAGCCAATTAGAGTGCATGTGTCTAGTGTGGGCAGTAGAAAAGTTGCACTATTATCTGGATGGTAGTTACTTCAAAGTTGTAACAGATTGCACTGCTTTGAGATCCTTACTCAACATGAAAACCCCTAACAGGCATATGCTCAGGTGGCAAATTGCAATACAAGAATACAGAGCCAACATGGAAATAGAACACAGAGATGGGAATATACATAAGAATGCTGATGTTTTAAGCAGATGGGCTTTACCAAATGACCCCAGCAACCCTGCTTATGATCCAGAAGACAAGGATGATGATAGATTCCCTATCATCGGCATACACGTTTCTTCTTTCAAAGATGAATTCTTTGAGACTGTGAAAGAGGGTTATCAGAAGAATAACAACACTGTCATCTTATCCCAGATACTCACGAAGGATAACAAAGATTCAGCGCTAAAAAATTCCTTACAAGAACCTTGGAAGACATCTTATGCAGAAGGAAGATTCTCCCTGTTTGATGGTCTTATATATCACAGGGAAAAACATAACTCAGTCTTGGTTCTTGCTGATAAGGATAGTATCAATGTGGTTCTACATGAGTGCCATGACAGTGTATACTCTGGCCATTTCTCAGAAGACAGGACTCTAGAAAAAGTGGAAGACACAGCCTGGTGGCAAAATTGGAGAAAAGACACCTCTGAATATTGTAGGTCATGTGACAGGTGCCAGAAAGCAAATAAAGCTACAGGGAAAAGGTTTGGTTTGCTTATGAAGATCCAAGAACCATCAAAGCCTTGGGACATTGTGAACATGGATTGGGTAACCTCTCTATCCCCGGGAGGTGCAGCTAGTTTTAATGTGTGTCTAGTAATAGTGGACAGATATTCTAAATCACCAATATTCATACCTTGCTTCAAAGATTATTCTGCTATGGAAACAGCTGTCCTTTTCTGGAACAGAGTCATGCCAAGGACTGGCATACCAAGGATAATCATCTCAGACAGAGACCCCAAATTCACTTCAGAATTCTGGACAGGACTGCATAGTATGTTGGGAACCAAGTTGTCCTTTTCCACCGCTTACCACCCGCAAACTGATGGCCTAGCAGAGAGGATGATACAAACACTGGAAGACATGGTGAGGAGATTTTGTGCTTATGGACTAGAATTCAAAGACAATGATGGGTATACCCATGACTGGGTTTCCATTATTACCTATACTTGAACTAGCTTATAGCACTAGCATACACTCTACCACAGGAAAAGCACCTGCTATTCTTGAGAAAGGATGGATGCCAAATCTACCCAGAAACTTCCTGAAGAAAGATGCAGTAGATATTCATCCCACAGCCCTCACTTACGCTAAGATATTTGAAAAAGCTAGAGTCCATGCTGAACATTGCATCACTGAAGCAACTGCTTACAACAAAGAAATATGGGACAAGACTCATAAAGAACCATCTTTCCAAGTGGGTGACCAAGTAATCATATCTACTACAAATTTCAATAACTTGTCTGGACCAAAGAAAATGAGGGATTCATTTGCAGGACCTTTTATAGTGAAAGCTCTACATGGAAAGAATGCAGTTGAAGTCATTCTGACTGAAGAATTCAGCAGAAAACATCCTACCTTTCCAGTGAGCCTTGTCAAACCCTACCATGCCCCAAATCCAGACAAATTCCCTCTAAGACAGAAGGTCAAGGTAGTGATTCCCCCCATGGAAGAAAACCCAAAGAACAAAGTCATCCTTAAGATACTTAGAGAAAAGAGGATAAGAGTTGACAACAGAGATGTGAGGATGTTTCTAGCAAGATACAAGAACATGAGTGCAGATAAAGACGAATGGCTCTTAGAAAAGGACATACCTGATGCCAACTCACTCATTAGGAAATTCAGGAGTGAAAAGAGAGCCTCTTGATGTTTTATTTTTAGGAAACAAAACCTCTTTTGGTGGTAGGGAATGTCAGCCTTAGAGCCAACCAAGCTGGCCAAAAGACTGCCAAAACTGCCCATTTCTACTCAAAATATTATCTTATCTTTTTTATCTTAAGACTTTTAACCTTTCTGACTTCAGAAATGGATTCCTGGTGTAAAATTAACCCTAGTCACCACTGATCACTTTTACCCAACTCCATTCCTTCATTGACTTTGTAATAATTCACAGTACTCCAAGAATTATTCCAACCTTTAGGTTTCAGCTCCCTCTACCACATGTACATGCCAGATTACATAATCCAACTTTGAAAATCCTCTCTGAGCTTGTTGATTCCGCTTCCAGAGGATTTTCAGACTCCAGACCAACTCAGAACACCAACAACCAGACCCAGATCAAGCAAACACTTATCAACCAGAAGGACCTCACTTTTCCTACCTTTCCCACTAATCAGTGTCATTGGTATCATTAGTAAGTCACTTCTCATAAGTTAAGCTAGCATCTTTCTGCATGTTTCTCTTCTCTGTCTCTCTCAGTTTCTCTTCACTCCTCCTCAAACCAAAGCCCTGATCAAAGAAAGCAAGCTCTAGCTTCTATTATCTCTTCTCCTCCTGTTTGGTAGTACAACTGAAAACTACATAGGTTTCCCTTTAAAGAGCCTTGATCTTTGATCTAAAAAATTGTGGTTGACCCGATTCATCAGTGTCAATACCCATTTCAGTTTCTGTTGATTTGGAGGCGTCAGAGTTAGCTCCGCTTATAACAGCCATCCTACTAAGGAAAGTAAGACTGTCAGCAGCCATCCAAGAGGGACAGTAAGACTGCCATAAATTAATCTTCTTCATAAAATAAACAAAGAACAAAAAGATTATTCTATTCCTTTTCTTATCTTCTTTCCCTCTCCTCTACTTTTACTTGTATTTCCTTTATCTTGAGAAATACATTTAAAAGTGCCCCCCAAAACCTTGTGTCCTGCTGTCACTATTGATACCCAGGCTCACATCTTCTGTCACGCCCGCTCGGTCAACTTACTCAAGGCATATCCGCACATCATCTTGCTCGACTGCACCTACAAGACCAATAAGTACCGAATGCCCCTGCTCCACATCTCCGGTATTACTGGCTCCAACAAGACTTTCAGTGTGGCCTTCTGTTTTATGGCGGAAGAAACTGAGCCATTCTAAGATTGGGCTCTTGAATCACTTCCAACCGTCTTCAATAGCCACCATATCTCACTCCCCGCCGTTGTCATCACCGATTGCGAACAAGCACTTATCAACTCCCTCTTGAAATCCTTCCCTGAGGCCCACCGCCTGCTGTGTGTTTGGCACATCCAGAAGAATCTAGTTGCCAAAGCCGCCAAATTGATTTCACAGGACAAACAATGGAAAGACATGCTGCAATGCTGGATGAACATTGTCAAGATATCCACTCAGTCCGACTTTTATTCGAGTTTTGCCCACTGGTCCAACAAATACGGTCCCAAATGGGAAAAATACGTCCGCACCACGTGGCTCCCTGTTGCTGAGCATTATGCCAATGCTTGGACTTGCTCTATTCCCCACTTCAACAACCGCACCACGTCCTGAATGGAATCTGCTCACGCATTTGTGAAGGCCCACCTCCTTGGCCCTCAGCAAACTTTCACCTCAGTAATCCAGCTCATCAGCAACGCAATCAAAAAACAATATCACGAAATCACCACGAAGCACGCCCAGCAAAAGATCACCACCCTCCGATACCTAGGGAACTTCTTCCGCCTCTGCCTTGGTAAGATCACAAACTATGCCATTCGACAGGCATACAACAGTCTTGAGAAGGCCAAGTCGGAGGTCCCACTTTCACGCTGCAATCAACAATATGTTGCACGCCTGGGGATTCCATGCAAACATTGGTTGTTATCCCTGTTCCAATCTGGCGAGCTTCTATCACCGGATGAGTTTCACGCTCAATGGCAAATGAATGTAAGTATCTTTCAGTTACCTGCTCAAATTTCACCAATCAAATACACAGAATCTTACCCAAAATAATGCCTTTGCCCCCATTTTCAGGCCATTCCCCGCCCTGCTGTACGAAGTGGAACCACGGACGTCAATCCATTGATTGAGCAGCTCACTAATTGGCTGCGATTGATGAACCCAGCGCAGCAGGCTATCCAACTGGCGGCGATCAACCAGATCATCGAAGGATCCGGCACCGTTGTCGACATCATGATGCCCACTGAGCCTCAAAAGACTCAAGGACAACCCAAAGGTGCGCCAAACAAACCACGAACTACTAAAAGGGATCCGTCAGCGTTTGAACATGTCGAAAAAAAGCGGAAGGCGGAAGAGAAACAAGCAACTGTTGCCAAGAAACAGAAGTTCAAAGACCTCCGAGCAGCAGAGAAGGCCATGCAAAAAGCCGAACAGAAGGCTGACAACGATGAAGCTGAGAAAAAAACAGTTGCCACTGCCCCAAAAAGGAGGCTCCTCCCAGCCCGAAGCACCCGTGGAAAAGCCGGCCTGAAAGAAGTCGATTTGCCACAGAAGAAGGATGAACCGGCACCAAAGGAGGATTTGTCCCAGAAGAACGGTGAGCCTGCTGTAAGGACTCTGTTAGTCCTTCACTGGATGAAGGGAAAAGGGCACGGAGACGGGCTAATGAGCCGAAGAATTCTAAGACCAAACTGTGGGGGGATTTGTATTTCTGGCTCAGAGAGAGGTTGGGATCAGATCTCTCATACAACATCACATGAAGGGAGAACAAAAGCAAACAGAATGAAGAATAGAAATTGGGACTCACCTGGCTCAGAGAGAGGTTGGGATCAGATCTCTGCTGAGCCAGGAAAGGAACAATAGCCCGGGATAACTATGAGAAAGGAGAAATGAATGTGAAACCCTTTTGAACCCTGACAGAGGAGGGAGGGGGTTTACACCTGCCCCCAAGAAGAAGATCTGACCAATCAAAACAGCCAGCCTCCAACCAGAACCGCCTCAAGATGATGAGCCTGAAGAGCAGAACAGCCGGATTGATCAACTCCCAGAAATCATCAAAAGCTCGGTCCAGAGAGTGGTAAGCCCTGCATCCAATGGCCACTGTGGATTCCGCGCGATTGCTTGGTGTTTGGGTCATGGGCAGGGCGATTATATGCAGATCCGCCAGGAGCTCATCAACGAAATCCAGAACCGGAGTCATTGGTATCTCATCCAGGGCAGCTTTCATCGAATTGATGAGGTCTTGAAACGGATCAAGGTCCCGTCTCCAGCCCCATGTGGTCCAGAGAAATGGATTTCTATGCCATGCATGGGTGACGTAATGGCCAATGCATTCGAGACACCTGTTTTCTTTTTCTCCCCAATTTGGTCACAAACCCACTTCCCTTATTTCTGTCCCCCAAACAATAATAATCCCATCTTCTTTGCCCTGCTTGGCAACCACTATCTCTGCTTGGAACTAACCGATCCCCATTTATTTCCAGCACCCAGACTTATGAAGAATTGGAGGAACGCGGCCACCCCAGAGGCTTTGAAATGGGAGGAGAAATACGCAGAGTGTTTCCAGTTGACTGTAGGAAGGAAAATCTTGGTCGAAAAACCTGGAAATTACTGATCAAGTTGTTCCAATTATTCCCCTCCTTTCTGCTGTTCACTCAAATTTTCACCCTCCAATTTTCTCTGGTTTGGATAGATTAGTTTCCTCTTATTCAAAAAATATCTCAACTCATCTCCTCTTGAAAATCCACCTCCTTTTCTTGTGTCTGTTGAAATACTCTTAATGTGAATGATTTCTTGAATGATTTGATATTTTTCTCTAGTAGCATGTTAGTAAGCTTCCTTTTGCACTCATGTGGTGCAAAGAGGCCTTGTTTGGTAGTCAGATGTGTTCACAATAGCCTCTCAAGAAACAAAATCAAAAGAAATAATATTTTCTTCAATATTGTGGTTTATTCATTTCTTGTCAACCATGTGTTGACCACTTGTAGTAGTCAATTTAACACTAGTGTACAACAAGCCTACGACAAAGGAAGTATCACGTTTGGTTTTCTTCTATCTTGAAGAGTGACTTCCTCATAGCCCCTCGTGGGTTAATAAAAGCCCAGTCAGCCCTTCCTATTTTTCTCTCATCAGTGGTTTTAATTTCATCACGCCACACCCTTTGTGTTTAATTTCATCACGTCTCATCCTTTTAATTTCTTTGTGTCTCATCCTTGTTGGATCAATGGTTCTCTGTGAGATCTCTTACTAACCAGTCTACTGGTCATTTGTTTTTCCTTTTCCTTTCATTTGTTTTCATCCATCCTGTGCCTTTGATGTACTTTTTTGGGAATTTTTTCCCCCCCATTTGTCCCCTGGGTTTTACCCTTGAGTTTTCATTTTCCCCTTTTTGCTTTTCCTACTTTTTGGCTTTTGCTTTTCTGTTTTGTTTATGTTCCTTTGATGTGCATTTTGGGTACTTTTTTCATCCATTTTTCCCCTTTTCTGTCATTTTGATTTTTCTTTTATGTATTTTTCTTTTTTATTTATTTTTATTTTCCATTTTATTCATTTATGTCCTATTGGGAGCGCCCACTCCCTGCTGCGCAGCCGGTTTTGGAGGGTCGACTCCCTGCCGGCTGCGCGGTTTTGTGCCTGTGTCTGGGGGCGCTGTTGGAGTGCCGACTCCTGTCCGCAGTCGTTTTTGGAGTGCCGACTCCCAAACGACTGCACAGGGGTCTGGCTAGGCTGGAGTCGGAATTGGGGCTCCGACTCCCAAACACCCGCGGGGTTTTGGAGGTTTGACTCCCAATTAAAACCCCCGAGTTTTTTTTATTTTTATTGTATGGTTGACTCCCAAAAAAACCGACGGTTTTGGAGGATCGACTCCCAAACTTTTTTGGGGAAAAAAATTGGGGGATTGGACATCCCAGGACGGTCTGCAGATGGTCCTCAGGAAGTCGGGGACATTTGGGAGTCGATCCTCCAACTTTTGGGAGTCGATTAGCTAAGACCCTTTAATTATTAATTTTTTTTCACTCATTTCTCAATTAATTGTTTGCAAACATGTTTGTACCTTATTTTTTATGCTTTTTTGAAATTTTAAATTTATTTCCCAGGTTTCAATGTGCTTAGAATTCAATGGTGCAATCCAATTTCTTCAAAACTCCACGGTTCATTTTTAATATTGAAATTAGATCCATTTTTTCACTTACTTTTTTACAGCTTAATATTCATTATTTTTTGACATTTTAAATTTATTTCCTACACTTTAAGACATGTATAAAATTATGGTAGCAACCATTTTTTCCCAAATTGAAAACTATACCTTGAATGCTGCATTTGACACGTTTTTTTAATTAATTCATCACTTTTTCACTTAATTGTTTGCATACATGTGTGTACCTTATTTTTTATGCTTTTTTGAAATTTAAAGTTTTTTCCTACATTAAAAAGTGTGTAGAATTTAATGGTAACATCCAATTTTCTTAAAACTCAACGGTTCATTTTTAATACTGAAACCAGACACTTTTTTCAATTAATTCTTTACATGTTATTTCTCAATATTTTTTGACATTTTAAATTTATTTCCCACACTTTAAGACATGATTAAAAAGCTGGTAACAACCATTTTACATAAAAATCAGCTCTTGTTACTGAATACTGTGTTGGACAGGTTTTTTTAAATGTTTTTTTAATTGGTTTTTACCGGCTTAATTTTGAGCATTTTTTGAAATTTTAAATTTATTTCCTACATTTAAAAATGTTTAGAATTGAATGGTGAAGGTTAATTTCAATAAAAATACAAGCTTCAATCTTAATAGATGAGTGTACCCCGTTTCTTGCATAATTTGAATTTTGTACCATACACAAATTTTATTTGAATGCAAAATGAATACAGCCATCAATTTTAAAACCTTTTAAAGTGTAGGAAATGAGCTTGAAATTCCAAAAAATAAGGATGATTGAGCATGTAAGAATTAATTTAGGAAACACGTCAAAGGCATTATTCAAGATATAGTTTTCATTTTGATGAAAATTAATTGTTACCATAATTTTATACATGTTTGAAAGTGTAGGAAAAGAATTTAAAATGTAAAAAAATAATGAAAAATAAGCTGTTAAAAATCAATTGAAAACTACGACTCATTACAGTATTCAGTATGAACCATTTAGTTTTATGGAAATTAAATGTTACCATTAAATTCCACACATATTCAAATGTAGGAAAAAACTTTAAAATTTCAAAAAAGCATAAAAAATAAGGTACACACATGCATGCAAACAATTAAGTGAAAAAGTGAGGAATTAATTAAAAAAACGTGTCAAATGCGGCATTCAAGGTATAGGTTTCACTTTGGGGAAAAATGGTTATTACCATAATTATTCAAATGTCTCAAAGTGTAGGAAAAAAAATTAAAACATCAAAAAATAATGAAAATTAAGCTGTAGAAATTTAAGTGAAAAAAATGTCAAATTTCAGTAGGGGCTTGGTTAATCGACTCCCAAAAGTTGGAGAGTCGACTCCCAAACCCCCAAAACCCCCGAAATTCCCCCGAATCCCCCGAGTTTTGGGAGTCGATTCCCCAAACCCATCAGCGGGTTTGGGAGTCGAATCCTCAAAGATTTTAAATAAAAAAAAACAAAACCCCCGGAGGGGGACGGAGTCGATGCCCCAAAACCCAGTGGGTTTTGGGGGTCGGCGAGCCAAAAAAAGCCCTCGATGGCCGGGATGATTCCTCCCGGCCGTCG